GTACAACTTTCATGTTTAACATTTTTTTCCATCTTACATATTTAAAAAGTTATTTAGAGTTACCTTATAAGGATACATACAGACATACATACATACACACATACATACATACATACAGACATTTTTTCTGAATGTGATTTTTGAACGTTTTAGAACATTCTAAACATGTTTTCAAAGAAAACTGGAAAAAAAATTTTTTCACGAAAACAAAGCTTCCTCTATGAGGAAATAATTTTAACTTAACTTAGTTACATTATAGACTGTTAACTTTTAACTTAATTTAGTTACATTTCATCGGTAACTTTTAACTTTGAATTTACCTTTTTTAAAGTTTGTCATGCCATAACCAAAGGTGTCACGAGCATAGACTTGTGTGGGGTCTACAATGAGAGTCGCAGAGTCACAGTCGTAAGAATAATCGACTGTAATTGATCAATTCAGTCAGACACATAAGAATTAACCAATCATAGTCGATTATTCTTACGACTATAACTTTACGATTTATATGTAGGCGAGGCTTTATAAATCTGTATAAGTCTAAGGTCGCGAGACACCGCACGCCTGTCTACATTGGCAGTTCCTGTGTTCCAAAAATCACTGCCTACATTTAAAATGTACGATATACGTTACGTGCACTATTGATCTTCAACAGTAAATTTTGGAATACAGTCATTATATGGGATTTTGATTCTCACTGACAAACTCACGTTAATTTGTTCGCCTCAGTAATGCAAACTTTGAATCTCTAGGTCTGTTTGCCCCAACAACATATCGTCATTTTATTTACAATTTAAGTGAGAGTATTGGTCGTTGGGACAAGCAGGAACATGTTGGGGCATGCGACGCGAACAGACCTGTTAGGCAACGCGTGGAGGGGATAGGGTGGAGGGTACCGGTCGGCGTTATCTTCTTCTACAATAAAGCCTATCACACAATGCGAGGCAACAGGCAACAGGAATAGGGAATAGAATTTTTGACGCGTTGGATTGGTTGAAGGAAAATTTCTGACGAATCCAACGCGTCAAAAATTCTATTCCCTATTCCTGTTGCCTGTTGCCTCGCATTGTGTGATAGGCTTAACTTCTACTGACTGACGAGTGCCGAGCACTATCTCCGCTCTATCCCATCCACGTGCTCAGTAGCCTGGCAGAAAAGTTCCGAAGTTTGCAATGTTTGCATCGCTAAAACGGGCCATATTTCGTGTATTCCAAACTGTGAGATTTTGTGCAAAACCACAATGAGTGTGATGGTTTCTATTTCAGTTATTTATAAGACCGTAAAACCCTAAAATCGTGAAATAAAACAAATTTAACTTTTAACTTTTTAACTTTTTTATTATTAACTTAACTTTTAATTCAATTAATTTCATTATGGGTTAACTGTATCTTAACTAAGTAAAATTTTCAAGACTGTTACCTTAAACTTAACTTACAATAGTTAAAAAACAAAAGTAACTTACCCAACCCTGCTTAAAAGTGAATAATGAAGAGTGTGATAAAAAGTCACATAGATTAAGGGGTAACACCACCCTTGAGGCCCTAAAACTATATCTAATTTTTTTGGGGCAAATGAATAACTTGATTAAAAAACACATAAACCACATTATTGTGCACATACTTTACTATAAAAAAAATATTTTTAGTAGTTATAATTATTAAAAATGGCGGCGTACTGGCTTATTCATTTGCCCCCCAAAAATTCCCAAACTTAGATATAGTTTTAGGGCCTCAAGGGTGGTGTTACCCCTTAATATTTGTAGTCCAACAAATACCAATATAAAAGTAAAATTTTAGCTGTCTTCCGGTCTCTCGGGAAAATGCACGAGTCTCCAATTAGTTAAAATCCGAAGATAAAAATTAAATCCAAAACGGCAAATTGATGAAATGTAGTAGATTAGAAATGAAAATTGGTAGTAAACGAAAAGATAACGTTCATGAAACTCACCAGAAAGAGGAAAAGACAAGTTGACACAGACAGTCCGCAACGTTATGATAAAGTACATATGTATGAAAGTGATAAAAACGATAAAATATTATTGAGTGTTGTGTGAGTGATAAACAAAAAGAGAGTGGGACCATGAGGCGGCTATTTAGAAGATAAGGAGTGTCAAAGGATAGGCATGAAAGTAAACAAGATAAGAGACATGAAATTTAATCATTATCGAAATGATTAAAAGTTTTATTGTACATATTGTTTAAGAGATCTGTGCAACATACGGAATTCAGTAAAAAAGGAGTAGCTCTTTTACTCTATCGTTATCACAAAGCTAGTGACGCAAGCGTTCTTATGGACCAAAGAGTAATCTAATAAACAGGTTTCAGCAATAATCTATAAAGTGCAACTAAATGCTTTCAAGATATCGAAGTGTTTCATATTATGAGCAGAGTTCCATATTTTACCACCCTTTCTTCTATTGACTATATTAAGAAAATAATCAATAGTTCAACTCGGAACTTTATAACGCACGAACGTGCTCATTTAAGTTAAAATTATTTTCCTGACGATTTTCTGCGTTGACAATGACTTGTGAGTCTGTTATAATTTATGCTCTGCGAACATTTATGAACTACTCCGCTTACTTAATAAAGACCTGATACTTGGGTCGAAACGTCGTACCAGTTGTAACACTTAATTATATTGCCAGGTGAATTAATAAGAATTTTATTTCAATTTTATTTATCACTGGCGACTTTAAGTATACTCCTCTACTGGGTAATAATAATTTTCTTATATTATACATATAAACAACATTTATTATATGTAGTGTAAATAATGAAGAGTGTGATAAAAAGTCACATAGATTAATATTTACAGTCCAAAAAATACCAATATAAAAGTGAAATTTTAACTGTCTTCCGGTCTCTCGGGAAAAAGCACGAGTCTCCAATTAGTTAAAATCCGAAGATAAAAATTAAATCCAAAACGGCAAACTGATAAAATGTAGTCGATTAGAAATGAAAATTGGTAGCAAACGAAAAAATAACGTTCATGAAACTCACCAGAAAGAGGAAAAGACAAATTAGTACAGACAGTCCGCAACGGAATGATAAAGTATATATGAAAGTGATAAAAACGATAAAACATTGTAGAGTAAAGAATTTGGTGTTGCAATATAATAATGTGACAAATAATTTTCGAACCTAGACGAAATTTGTAATACAAACACTCACACTTTTTACAGCACACCGATTTCCAAACTACTTTCCTCTTTTTTTTCGTAGAAAATTGACTCGCTGACATTTCCTGGATTGTTATGATTTAACTTAACACGTGCAAAAGGACTCGTCTCGTACAGTTCAGACAGTTCTTGACAATTATTTACGTAAACAATCAACCAACATTTAGGTCCGAATTTAAATATTCTACATATAACTTATTTACATTTTTATATTGTGTCCGTACAACAATAACGTAATAACGTATTTAACACGCGTACAAAGTGTCACTATAACGACACTAGTGGCAATCACTTTGAAACCAAATAGACTTTTCTTTTTCTCTAGTAACATATCAATATTAGCTTCGAAGACTTGCATTTGTTTCTCAGATACGGACGAATCGTACATGAAATGGGTCAGCAGGCCGAAGGGTCAGATCAATCTGTATCCGAAGATTTTTCAAATAATCAACGGGCTCCAAATAGAAGTTGTGCACCAGAGGAGCTATCATTGCCTTCATTTCCAACATAGCAAATCGTTGGCCTATAATTTGAGGCAGGTATCGTAAACTCTTTATATAACAAAGTATTATATTATATATTAGGATATAAATAAAAATATGCCTTACCGATGCAGTTACGTGGTCCAGCACTGAACGGTATATATGAATAAGGATGACGATTTCGGATGTTTTCAGGCAAAAATCTATCAGGATCGAATATGTCTGGATTTGGCCAAAAATTGGGATCTCTGTGGACTCCGTAAATATTAAGATGCAAGAATGTCCCAGCACGTACCATATATGATTCTAAAAAACATATTATATATTAAAATTTTTAAAAAATCGTAAAACTGAATATGCTTCTAATAAAACAGAAGGATTGGATGTCTATAATATTCTGCATAATAAAAAATACAATATAGTTATTATTTAAACTTTATGACGCATTAGTTGCTTAATATTATTTTCTATAAATATAGTATGTGGCATTATATAAAATTTTTGTACTTTATATCTAAATTACATAGATAATCTTATTACAAAATATAGGTATTTTAGAATCATTGAAATAGAATTGTATTTTGCTTGCTTATACTTATGCTCATACATTTTATAACATTTGGGTGTTATAATAAATACTTTCTAATATTTAATGAAATTTTATATACATTCGTTAAATACATACGTAATTTTACATCTTCTGCAGGAATTCGTGATATTAGATATACGCTGGGATATAAGCGCAATGCTTCCTTTATACATCTGTCTAAATATGATAAATCTTGCAGTAAATTCATAGTAAATTTCTCCCCATGTTTTTGCAAAGCAGTGTCAACTTCGTTCCTGACACGATCCTATATCATCAGTGTTAATTAAAAGGCTATATTTTTGTTGTACAATTTTTATACAAGATGTCTGATACAAGAGTACCCCTACGAAAAGTGGTGGTAGATTAGGTCAGACTAAGAAGAAAAATCATGTACCACTTTACAATATTCGCAATAGTTATCGAATAATTTATTGAAACGTCTGAATGAATAAGCGTGTAGAGAGCGGTAGGCCGAGCTTAAAAGGCATGTCAGATAGCTTTGCATACCGGATCTCCTAGTAACGGTGAGCGAGAGGTGGAGCGACGTAACTTGGCGCCGGAAAACAGTGATGGTAGATGGGCCGGGTTTTTGGCGCATGCGCAGCTAAAGCAGCCGTAAAGCAGTAAGGGTATACTATGGTATGATTATCACAAAAGGCGCGAAAGTCTCGATGAGAAGGCTAGGCTAGGTTAGAGTAAAGGTAAATATACCTTTGTGTATGTGCGTCATTATATTTATACAGGGTGCTACGCAATATATTGACTTCCGGTCATGGGAAAGTAGAGGGGACTAAGACAAACAGAAAAGTATTGTACTATTTTGCGCTTGGACGAATAGTTATCGAGATACGAAATTTTAAAAATCGCCGTATTAGCCCAACCTACTGGCGAATGTAAGCGCGCGGTAAGATGCGTCGGCCTAGCGGCCCCGCGCGGGGAGACGTGCGAGCGGTCGCGTAAGCGGCGGACGGGCAGCGGCGCGCCTCGCCTCC